TGGTGCAGCGCCCCTTACTTGGCAGCAGTTCTCCACTCTTTTCTTGGAGAAGTATGTACCGCAGTCCCGCAGAGAGGAGCTGCGCAAACAGTTTGAGTGGCTGCGATAGGGAGATATGACGGTGTCCTAGTATGAGATGAGGTTTTCAGAGTTGGCTCGTCATGCAGTTTGGATGGTTCCGACTGATCGTGAGAGGATCAGGAGATTTGTTGATGGCCTTAACTACCATCTCCGTATTCTTATGACTAGAGAGAGAGTATTAGGTGCTACATTCGAGGAGGTGGTTGATATCGCTCGAGAGATTGAGACAGTTCACCGTCAGGATCGAGAGGAGAGGGAGGCCAAGAGGCCTCGAGGTTCTGGCAGTTTCAGTGGTGCTCCTTCGTGGGGCCAGTTCCAGCATGGTAGAGGTTGTTCTTTCAGGCCTGCTCAGTCAGCCCGTTCAGAGTATCGAGGGGCATCTTCAGGTCGTGGTCATCATAGGTCTCAGCAGGGTCAGCCTTCACTTAGCGCCCTCCCAGCTCAGAGTTCATCTCGTGCCCCATCGGCTCAGGGTTCTTCTATGTCGAGTGCATTTGCTAGTCACTCAGGTGCGAGGGGTTCCCTTCAGTCCCCTTCTCCAATACCTGGGAGTTATTTTGAGTGCGGAGAGTTTGGGCATGTGTGGAGGCAGTGTCCTCGTCGTGCTGCTAGTTCGTCCCAGCGGAGGGGTCAGCCCTCGACTTCTACTCCAGCTACTTCACCACCCGCCCAGCCAGCTAGGGGTGGAGGTCAGACAGCAGGGGTCGCCCCAGAGGGGGGGGTCGATCAGGGGGCGGTCAGGCCCGTTTTTATGCTATGCCAGGCAGATCCGATGCCATTGCCTTTGATGCTATCATTTAAGGTATTATTTCAGTCTGCCACAGAGATGCCTCTGTATTATTTGATCCCGGCTCCACCTTCTCTTACGTGTCTTCGTACTTTGCTCATTATTTGGGTACGCCCTAGGAGTTTCTTGCTTTGCCTGTTCATGTGTCTACCCCGGTGGGCGATACTATTGTTGTAGACCGTGTGTACCGGTCATGTGTAGTGACTATTGGGGGTCTGGACCCGAGTTGATCTATTGCTATTGAGCATGGTGGATTTTGATGTCATTTTAGGCATGGATTGGTTATCTCCGTGTCATGCTATCCTAGATTGTCATGCTAAGACAGTCACTTTGGCTATGCCGGGTGTACCGCGAATCGAGTGGCGTGGTGTGACTGACTATGTTCTCAGTAGAGTGATCTCTTTCTTGAAGGCCCAGCGTATGGTTGGGAAGGGTTGTCTTTCGTATTTAGCTTTTGTGCGGGATGTTGGAGCTGAGGCTCCTAGTATTGATTATGTCCCAATTGTGAGAGATTTTCCCGATGTATTTCCCGCAGACCTGCCGGGCATGCCACCGGACAGAGATATTGATTTTGGTATTGATCTGGTGTCGGGCACTCAGCCCATTTCTATTCCGCCATATCGTATGGCACCAGCAGAGTTGAAAGAATTGAAGGAGCAGCTTCAGGAACTCCTAGATAAGGGGTTCATTCGGCCTAGTGTGTCACCTTGGGGTGCGCCAGTTCTGTTTGTGAAAAATAAGGATGGCACGATGAGGATGTGCATTGATTATAGGCAATTGAACAAAGTTACAGTTAAGAACAAGTATCCTTTGCCTCGCATTGATGATTTATTCGACCAGCTTCAGGGAGCAAGGGTGTTCTCTAAGATTGATCTCTGTTCGGGCTATCACCAGTTGAAGATCAGGGATTCAGATATTCTTAAGACTGCTTTCAGGACTAGATATGGTCACTATGAGTTTCTTGTCATGTCTTTCGGGCTGACCAATGCCCCAGCAGCGTTCATGCATTTGATGAACAGTGTATTCCGGCCTTATCTGGATTCGTTCGTTATTGTTTTCATTGATGATATTCTGGTGTACTCGCGTAGTCAGGAGGAGCACGCGGAGCATTTGCGAGTTGTATTGCAGAGATTGAGGGAGGAGAAGCTTTATGCAAAGTTCTCCAAGTGTGAGTTTTGGCTCGGTTCAGTGGCTTTCTTGGGACACGTGGTGTCCAGCGAGGGTATTCAGGTTGATCCAAAGAAGATAGAGGCGGTTCAGAGTTGGCCTAGACCGTCCTCAGCCACAGAGATTCGTAGCTTTCTTGGGTTGGCAGGCTATTATCGCCGATTTGTTCAGGGATTTTCATCCATTGCATCGCCCTTGACCAAGTTGACTCAGAAGGGTGCTTCATTTGTATGGTCGGACGAGTGCGAGGAGAGCTTTCAGAAGCTCAAGACAGCTTTGACCACAGCTCCAGTATTGGTTTTGCCATCAGCTTCAGGTTCTTATACCGTATATTGTGATGCTTCGAGAGTTGGGATTGGTTGTGTATTGATGCAGGAGGGCAGAGTTATTGCTTATGCTTCTCGTCAGTTGAAGCCCCATGAGAAGAACTACCTTGTTCATGATTTGGAGTTGGCTGCCATAGTCCATGCATTGAAGATTTGGAGGCATTACTTGTATGGCGTATCTTGTGAGGTATTCACTGATCATCGCAGTCTTCAGCATTTGTTCAAGCAAAATGATCTTAATTTGAGGCAGCGAAGATGGCTAGAGTTGCTTAAGGATTATGATATTACTATTCTGTATCATCCGGGAAAGGCCAATGTAGTGGCCGATGCTTTGAGCCGAAAGGCAGTGAGTATGGGGAGTTTAGCGTATGTTCCAGTTGGGGAGAGACCCATTGCAGTTGATGTTCAGGCCTTGGCCAATTGGTTGGTGAGATTAGATATTTCAGAGCCCAGTCGGGTGTTGGCTTGTGTGGTTTCTCGGTCTTCCTTATATGATCGCATCAGAGAGCGCCAGTATGATGATCCGCATTTGCTTGTCCTTAAGGACATAGTTCAGCATGATGATGCCAGAGATGTGACCATCAGTGATGACGGAGTGTTGAGGATGCAGGGCCGGATTTGCGTGCCCAATGTGGATGGGCTTCGGGAGTTGATATTGGAGGAGGCCCATAGCTTGCGGTATTCCATTCATCCGGGTGCCGCGAAGATGTATCAGGATCTTAGATAGCATTATTGGTGGCAGGGAATGAAGAAAGATATTATGGGGTTTGTAGCTCGGTGTCTCAATTGTCAGCAGGTGAAATATGAGCATCAGAGACCAGGTGGCCTGCATCAGCAGATGGTTATTCCCGAGTGGAAGTGGGAGAGGATCACTATGGATTTTGTTACCGGACTCCCGCGGACTTTGAAGAAGTTTGATGTTATTTGGGTGATTGTAGATAGGCTGACCAAGTCCGCGCACTTCATTCCCGTGTGTGCTACCTATTCTTCAGAGCAGTTGGTAGGGATTTATATTCGGGAGATTGTTCGGTTGCATGGCGTTCCGGTTTCCATCATCTCAGATAGAGGTACTCAGTTTACTTTGCAGTTTTGGAGAGCCGTGCAGAGAGAGTTGGGTACTCAGGTGGAGTTGAGCACAGCGTTTCATCCTCAGACGGACGGACAGTCCGAGCGTACTATTTAGATATTGGAGGACATGTTGCGTGCTTGTGTTATTTATTGTTGGAGGTTCATGGGACGAGTTCTTTCCGCTTGCCGAGTTTGCCTACAACAACAGCTACCAGTCGAGTATTCAGATGGCTCCGTATGAGGCCTTGTATGGGAGGCGGTGTAGATCTCCAGTTGGTTGGTTCGAGCTCGGTGAGGCTAGGCTTTTGGGGACAGATTTGGTTCAGGATGCGTTAGATAAAGTGAAGGTAATTCAGGAGAGACTTCGTACAGCGCAGTCGCGTCAGAAGAGTTATGCGGACCGGAAGGTTCGAGATGTGTCCTACATGGATGGTGAGAAGGTCTTGCTGAAGGTTTCGCCCATGAAGGGTGTTATGAGATTTGGAAAGAAAGGGAAGTTGAGTCCGCGGTTCATTGGGCCTTTTGAGGTACTTCGGAGGATTGGGGAGGTGGCTTATAAGCTTGCCTTGCCACCCAGCTTGTCGAGTGTGCATCTAGTTTTTCATGTTTCTATGCTCCGGAAGTATATTGGGGACCCGTCCCATGTTCTGGATTTCAGTACGGTTCAGCTGGAGGGTGATTTGACTTATGATGTAGAGCCAGTAGCTATTTTGGAGCGGCAGGTTCGAAAATTGAGGTCAAAGCATATAGCTTCTGTGAAGGTGCAGTGGAGAGGTCGGCCCCGTGGAGTAGGCTACCTGGGAGACCGAGCGGGAGATGCGGAGCAGATATCCTCACCTATTTGAGGCTTCAGGTATATTTCTTGACTCGTTCGAGGACGAACGTTTGTTTAAGTTGGGGAGGATGTGACGACCCGGCCAGTCGTCTCATCAGTTACCGCCCCATTTTTTCCATTTCTGCTTCTTTATGCTTCGTTATCCGTGTTTTATGTGATCGAGTTGTTTAGTTTGCGTTCGGATTGGATTTGGTAAGAAATGAGACACTTAGTCTCTTTAAAGAAGGTTTAAGTTGGAAAAGTCAACCGGATATTGACTTATGAGTTAGAGGGTTCAGATGTGAGTTCCGATGGTTCGGTTAGCTTCGGGAGGTGATTTGTGACTTAGGAGTATGATCGGAAGTGGTTTTGGAGGTCCGGTGTAAAATTAGGCTTGAATTGGCGAAGTTAGTATTTTGGCGAATTCCGGTTGATAGGTGAGATTTTGATCCGAGGGTCGGAATGGAATTCTGAGAGTTGTTGTAGCTTCGTTATGTGATTTGGTATGTGTGTGCAAAATTTCAGGTCATTTGGACGTGGTTTGGTTGGGTTTTTGATCAAAAGCGCGTTTCGGAAGTTTTTGAAAACTTAAGCTTGAATTCGATGTGAATTTATGATTTTGGTGTTGTTTGAGGTGTTTTGATGATTGGAACAAGTTTGAATGAGGTTTTAGGATGTGTTGGTGCTTTTGGTTGAGGTCCCGGGGGCCTCGGGGTGATTTCGGATGGCTATCGGGAAGTTTTGAGACTAAGGAATTTCAGAAATTTGCAGCAGCAGTTGCAGGTGTAATTTGGCCTTCGTGATCGCGAGCCTGGGCCCGCGATCGCATAGAAGGATTTTTGGCAAGCCAGGTTATGTTCTGCGCGGTCGCATCAGTGGGGCCGCGTTCGCATAGCTCTGGAAAATCAAACATCACATTTGCAGGTATGGCATCGCGTTCGCATAGTTCTTTTGGGAGGCCTTAGAATATTGCCCTTCGCGATCGCGAGCCTGGGGCCGTGATCGCATAGAAGGAAGTTCATAAGCTGGGCAGAAAGTTATAATCATTTCATCCGCGAGTTTTAGCCATTTTTCCACCATAACTGAGTTGAGAGCTCTTTGAGGGAGATTGAAGAGGGATTCAAGGAGAAGTGATTGGAGGTAAGTTCTATGAACCAAAAACGTAATTTTATTGTGTAATTAACCTAGAAATTCATGGAAATCTAACTAAAATGGAAGAACTAGGGCTTGGGATTTTGAGATTTTAAATTGGGATTTAAAGGGCCATTTGAGGTCGGATTTGAGAGTTTTTGATATGTATGAACTCGTGGAAGGATAAGGAACCCTTTGATGTGAAAATTTCTAAGTTTCGAGAAGTGGGTCCGGGGCTCGGGTTTTGCTAATTTCGGGATTTTTGATATTTTTCGATTGTTTTTGCTTGGGTTTTGTTCCCTTAGCCTATTGTGACGTATTCGTTCTGGTTTTGGTCAGATTCGACGTGCGAGGAGGCCGATTTGAGAGGCAAGGGTATAGCGAGCTAGAGATTTAGCCGGTTCGAGGTGAGTAATGATGTTAAATGATGTCATGAGGGTTTGAAACCCCGGATTTGCACATCGTAGTGCTATATTGAGGTGACTTGCACGCCGGATAGCGAGCGTGGGGTAGAGCACCGTTGGGGATTGTGACTTGGTCCGTCCCGATTGATGAATTTACCGCATATTTGATTAAAACTTGTTTGTTATCATCATGACTTGGGCTGATTGCCATATTTGGGCTTCGTACCAACTGTTTGAACCCTCCGGGGATTTTTATCACTATTTCCTCACTGTGTTGACTTGTTACTTGAACTCAGTCCTGTTGATATCTACCGTTTCTTTACAAACTCGGCCACTTTTACTCGGATTTGAATTAAATGATATTTTGGGCTGAGAACTACTGTTTTGCTACTGCCCGAGGGGCTTATGATGATTTTCGGACTGAGTGAGGCCGAGGGCCATATGTGGATATACTGAGTGATATGAGGCCGAGGGCCGAGATATTTTTATATGCCACGAGGTGGCTTGAGTGTTGTGAGGCCGAGTGCCGAGAGATGATGCCACGAGGTGGCTTGATGTAGCGCTTGGGCCGTAAGGGGCCCCTCCGAAGTCTGCACACCCACAGTGAGCGCGGGTACCCATTTGATCTGAGAGTGAGCCCGAGGGGCTGATACTATGCTGAGAGTGAGTCTGAGGGGCTGATACTATGCTGAGGGTGAGTCCGAGGGGCCGATACTACACTGAGAGTGAGCCCGAGGGGCTGATACTGTTCCGAGTGAATTATATTATGCCCGAGGGGCGGATTTCTATTTGTTATTTACCTGTCAAATTACCTGTTTTACTTGTTAAAAAAGGATTTTACTTAACTACCTCATAGATTTACTGTTCAAAGTGACTTTACTGCTTCTGTATAGATTACTTTGTGTTTTCGCGTGTTTTCTTGCTTTCAGACATTATTTATATTTATTACTCACTGGGTCGGAGTACTTGCATTACTCCCTGCACCGTGTGTGCAGATTCAGGCATAGCAGGGCCCACTCCCGAGTGTTGACTCGTCCCAGCTCAGGCGGATCTTCGAGGAGACTTTAGGTAGCTGCTGGCATTTGCAGCCTGGAGCTCCTCTCTATCTATATCTTTACTTTCCATTCTAGCATTGAGACTCTGTAGTTACATTTGAGAGATTTGTTATCTTAGACGCTCGTGGCTTGTGACACCCCAGTTTGGGCTGTGTCGGGATTGTTTCCCCTTACTGTTATCTATGTTTCCGCGAATTTATTACTATTAAGTTATTCTTTAAACCGTTTTATGATCATTAATTGTTTTAAAAGGTGTATTGTATTGGTCCGGCTGGCCTTGTCTTCACGAGAGACGCCATCACGACCGGGTTCGGGGCTAGGGTCGTGACACAACGAAACGAGACATGCGAATATAGAAACTAAGGAAAAAAGGGTACCGAACTAGCGCTAATACTATCGAGCTAGAGAAGACAAAGGGAGATGCACGACTACCTACTAACCTTCTACCCTAATCTTCAACCTCCACACCCTTCTATCTAGAGTCATGTCCTCGGTTAGCTCAAGTAGCGCCATGTCCCGCCTGATCACCTCTCCCCAAGACTTCTTTGACCTACCTCTACCCCTCCTCACACCTCCTAAGGCCAACCTCTCACATCTCCTGATAGAGGCCTCTGCGCTTCTCCTCTTAACATGCCCGAACAACCTCAACCTTACCTCACGCATCTTTGCCTCCACAGGGGCCACTCCCACCTTGTCTCGAATAACTTCACTCCTAATTCTATCCAATCTAGTATGCCCACACATCCATCTCAACATCCTCATTTCCGCTACCCTCATCTGCTGGACATGAGAGGTTCTGACTAGCCAACACTCTGACCCATACAACATAGTCGGTCTAACAACTACTTTGTAGAACTTACCCTTAAGTCTCAACGGCACATTCTTATCAAACAAGACACCGGAAGCGAGCCTCCACTTCATCCACCCTGCTCCGATACGGTGTGTGACATCCTCATCTATCTACATTGTTACTTACATAGACTACTAATAAGAAAATAAAGAAAAAAAGTATGACACGTTGGAGCAAGTATACAAATGCAACCATTGTGACGATAACTACTTTAATGCTTATTAGTGGAATTTTAAGGAATGCTAGATAGTAAATAATTAAATTACAAAATTATTTAGGAACAATTCAATAAACAAAATCTTTTGGAATGCTATAATAAACGTATCAATATATATATTTTGGGGGTCAAAGTAACCATATGGAATTTTGAGACTAATATTCAGGTTTCTATGCCAATAGTTTCTTAATCCTTCCTTACTAGAATTATTTAACATAACTATAATATCTTTCATATTAAATTTTTTAATATTTAGGACCTGAAAATTAACTAAAACTTTATTTACTCATTTAAACTATGTAGAAGCAATCGATATTTTAAATAAATTAAATTTTAATTACCTGATATAATTTTTTTATTTGATGATGTAACATAACTGTAATTCCTTTCATGTTATAATTAAATATATGAAACTTTCGATGAACTAATATTAAGAATTTGAATTAATAAAAAATAAATTAGTCCCTTTGATGTTAATACCAAATAATTAAGTCTAAGAATCTTGAATTATTGTCAAATTCATCATATAATTAAAATTAACTTTTCAAGTTGACAAAACTTTTAGGATGCCCAAATTTATTTCATAAGAATAGTATTGGCGGTGAAAGAAAATTAAAAAAAAGAAAAACTAACATTGAAGGCTTTATAAATAAGCATTTTCAACTAAAACTACATATATTGTAAGGAGTATAAGATAATATTTATTTTAAAATACAAATATATTATTTAGTATATGTATGGTTCTCTAAAAAGTTGTATACTTACTGATTTAGGTACATACGCAAACCGCGTATCATAAGACTAGTCTTAAGAAAAACAAATGAGGCCTTAGAAATAGTTGCTAAAGTTAAAGTTCAAAATAAAACAAAATTTTTTCTTAAGAATATTTTGGATTTAAACAAAATAAAATTATTTGAAAATGATTTTCTTTCGCAGGCATCTTAAATTATTTGTCATATTTAGCAAGCGACGTCGTCGGACCACACAACTGCGATCTGCAGAACTTCCCGCGCTAAAAGTTATCCCCTTATAAAAACCCGCCATTTCCACATCAAAGATTAGGGTTTCGAGTTCAAATAATGAGCTCTCTTTCAAATCAGGTAATGCGTAGCTGCATCAAGGACCATGAGGCCTCAGCCATGGAAGGGCGCCGGCAGAAATCAGAAGTAGGAGAAGAAGAGGAAGAGGAAGAGGAAGAGGAAGAGGAAGATCCATTTCTTCAATTCATTGAGTACGCTAAGTCCGTACTATCTCCCGATGAAGCAAAGGGCCCTAGTTGGAGCTGGATTGCTTATAAGATTCTCAAGACTTGCATTGCTTATTCATCTGGAGTCACCTCCGCTATTCTCCTCTCCGATCTCTTTCAGGTTCAATACGCCCATTCACATTAATTAAAGCGCCTGCACATCTGCTCTTTTGCTACTTTCAAGTATTTTGGTGAATTTGTTAATTAAATAAAAATAAAAGCTCCATTATCTCTGATATTTTATATTTTCATTTAGTAATTTTGTGATCCAGTAATTTGCTCCCTCCTCACACTGTTGTCACTATTACTATGTGAGAAATCACTACTTGAGAAATTAAACAGTTTTTTTTTGTTTACTTAAATTTTTAAAAATATTTTAATTTTCTTGTAACTATTTAAACAAGATTTTATTAGTAGTAGTTTCTATGCGGTTTCTGAATAAGTAAATTTTATCAATTTTTTCTTAAAAAATGATGTCTGAATTCACATGGAAAATTAAATATGCCTTATGCTCGCACTCTGGACATGGACATTCTTTTATTTTTTTGCCAGGGGTTTTTTTTTGGGGGGGGGNGGGGGGGTTAGGGGTTACTAATAAGAGTTACGTTACCTTTTCCCCTT